GACCGCCGTAGCCGCCGCATTCCAGCCGCCTTGTCGCCCTTGGATAGGTTGTGCTTGCTTGGAAATTTCAAGTAAGTTACAATCTAAACCCTATTTAGGATATCGGGTATTAACGGACTCGTTTAGACGTGGTTTAGGGTAGTTTAGGGGTTGATTAGGGTGCTGATCGTGGTTGTTGGTGGCTGATCATGGCTGTTAGTGGCTGTTGCATGTTGGATTAGACATCTGGGAATGAGTTTTGTGGGTTGGAGATCCATGGGTGTGAGCTAAAACTTGAATCTTGGTTGTTTAGTTCAAAACTCGGATTCGTGACTACTGTACCCATCCGATTTGCTATTTTTGTGGAGAATTTTGTGGGCCAAATTTGAGAAAGTTTTCTTCATGAAAGTTGCTCCCAACATCTTGAAGTATAACATATTTTAAATTTGGAATTTTTGGAGGCCACTTGGGTCGCACGAAAACCCATTTTCAGACCGTCTTAAAACTGCCCGGAACACTGTTCATCCCGACCTTCTTGTCTTACCGAATTTTTATAATATTTTCCAGATCTATTTTCAATAAACTTCCTTCACAAAAGTTGTTGGTAACTTTCTTTTCTATGATATATAAAAGTTTCAAATCTTTTAAAGGTGATTTGGGTGTTAAAAGAAATGTATTTTGAGGACAAAACAGTCTGTTAGAGCGAACTGATTTTGGTCTGATTTCGAGGGACAAAAAGGCATGGTTACAGATTGAACCGGATTTTGTGTTCTTCATAAGAAATGTTTATCAAGATGTTTTTTTTTATATATCCAAAATTTAGAATTTTTGGAGTTCGTTTACTATTTATTTTGATGGAATTTCGGTCACTGTATAAACTGCCCAGATTTACCCTGATTCTATGGATGTTCATTTTTATGAGCGGAATGGTGGGGGTGTCGAGGTTGAATAGTTGCTGCCCTCGTGACTGGAATTGATGCTTGAATGTGTGTTTGTATGTTCTAGGGGCTGAATTGAAATGGTTGAATTGGGTGCATTTGGGTGCATTTAATTAATGTTCGAGTATGTGAACGTGTGAGATTTGAGGCATGTGATGTGCGTGTGATCACTAAAAAGCCCTGAGGCGTGTTTATGCGGGGTACAGATAAAATACGGCGTGTTGGCATGTTCGTGTGATCACTAAATCCCTGAGGCGTGTTTACGCGGGTTGTGATACGAATGTGGGGCTTGAGGCGTGTTTACGCGGGCCGTGGAAAGAGATTGAAAGTGAAATGTGTGATGTGGCAAGTGAGAGTGTGATCGGGCCTGAGGCATGTTTATGCGGGTTGCGATAGGAATGTGTGATGTGGCAAGTGAGAATGTGATCGGGCTTGAGGCGTGTTTACGCGGGTCGCGATAGGAATGTGTGATGTGGCAAGTGAGAATGTGATCGGGCCTGAGGCGTGTTTATGCGGGTCGCGATACGATTGTGTGATGTGGTAAATGGAAAGTGAGATCGGGCCTAAGGCGTGTTTATGCGGGTCTCGATAGGAATGTGGGGCCTGAGGCGTGTTTACGCGGGCCGAGGAAAGAGATGGAAAATGAAAATGGTGTGTTAGTGCATGAATGAGTGTGAAATGTGGGGTTCGGAATTGTTGTGTGTACGACATGTGCTTTTGGGCATGAGAATTGCTTGGAATGTGCATGTGGCTCGAAATTCGTGTATTTGAGACTAATGTGCAGGTTGAGCCCAGGTAAGTACACTTGTGTGTGCGTGATATGTATGTATTGAATGATTGCGTGTCTGGACCTGTCTGGAGATACGTGGTAGCTTAAGTGGGGTTTAGGCTGTCAACTTATTGAGAGTTGTTTCATGGTTGTTTAACCAAATTATTTTAGAACCCCGCCCTGAGTCCTGAATCTACCGCCGCCGCCGCCGCAGCGTTTTGGTATACCAATGCACACCGAGCATTCAGTTGTAGAGTATCCGGTAGACGACAATTTGGCTTGGATCAAACATATGACCGTAGTCTGGGTAGATTTAGGGGTAGAGCCAGAGGAAGAACCAGGGGAGGAGCATAAGGAAAATTTGCTGGAAGAGTCTGAATCCGAGGAACAGATTGAGGTGCCATTAGAGTCGGGGGATGAGGATAACCCGATCGAGATCAAGGCAGACTCCGAGTCTTCAGAGGAGCACATGCTCGAGGAGGATTGCGATTCGAATTCTGGGGAGACCGAATCGGAATGGACGCCGTCTACAGGGCGTAGGGGCTAGACTAGGGGTAGCCAAGCCTTTTGAAGTGTCCCATTTTTGGAAATAGAATATACCCAGACTACTAACCTTTTTGGAGTTGTTGACGTGATCCGTGGAAGCTAGTTTTTATGTGTATTATAGGTTGATGAAATTTTGGCGAGTGCTCAAGGTGACTAATGGTTGTGTAATGGACGAGAATGGATATTGTATATATATCGAGGTGTAATGTTATGTTTGGTGGTTTGGCGAATTATCTCTCCCTATTACCCCATGATTTTATTGTCAGGGTTTATGTTCTTGTTTCCGCCGTGTGCAAACTCTGATGTGATCGTTTGAGCTCGGCGAAGTTTCCTGGGTCGTCGCATTAATTCGACCAAAGAGGGATGTTGCGAGCTCGATAGGGTTCGGGGCGTGACAATAGTCATCGGACGCAATCATCTGACGACAACTTATATACAAGTTTGTCGGCAAAAGTACACCAGAAGTGCCACAACTTGTGTACGGCGATCACTTTGGTGCCATAACATTTTTTCGGATCACTTTGGTGCCAAGTCGGAGGAAAATAGATCACTTTAGTGACTCCGTCCAAAATTCCGGCCAAAAAGCTGACCTGGCATTTATATTTAAAAAAAAATGGTCTGACATGTACACGTGGAAATTATGTGGCTTTTTTTCAAATTTTTAAATTTTTAGAAAAATAATAATAATTAAAATAATTAAAAAAAAAGTTGCAGCAGCGGCGAGGGAGCCCTCGCTGCTGCTGCTGCTGCCAACCCACCACCGCCGGGAAGGGCCGGCGATGGTGGGCGCAGTGGTCGGCGAGGGCCGGATCAGGCGAGACAAGACCTCGCCGTCGCCTGGGTCGCGACGGTGAGGTCGGCCTTGCCTTTGCTGGGCGAGGCGAGACCTCGTTGTCGCAACCAGGCGACGACGAGGTCTCGCCTCGCCTAGCAAAGGCGAAGCCGACCTCGCCGTCTCCTAGGTCGCGACGAGCGAGGCGCGCCTCGCCTTCGTTAGGCGAGGCGAGACCTCACCGTCGTGACTGTGCGACAGCCGAGGTCTCGCCGCCCAAAGAAAGGCGAGGCCGCGCCTGCCGTCGCGACCCGTGCGACGGCGAGGTCGGCCTCGCCTGGCGAGGCGAGACCTCGCCGTCGCCCGGGTAGCGACGGCGAGGTCTCGCCTCGTCGGATCCGGCCCTCGCTGGGCTCGGCAAGGGTCGCCGGGCCCTAACCAGGGGCCGGCGACCCTCGCCGACCACTGCGCCCACCACCACTGGCCCTTCCCAGCGGTGGTGGGTAGGCGGTTAATATTTTTCAAAAAAGTACACGTCAGCGGGCTAAACGGCGTCGTTTTTTATTTTTAATGCTGACTGGACCTCTCCGGCGAGCCGTGTCAGTGCCACATCGGATTTCCGGCGAGCCACGTCAGCATTGGCACTAAAATGATCGTTTTTCAAAAAAGTTGGCACAAAAGTGATCCGAAAAAAAGTTATGACACCAAAGTGATAGCCGTACACAAGTTATGGCACTCCTAGTGTACTTTTGCCCAAGTTTGTCATATGCATCCATCTGATATTGACCATGTGATTTAAACATTCAGAATGAATATAATTGAGATCAACAACTCATATGGTCAATATCAGATGGATGCGTATGACAAACTTGTATATAAGTTGTCGTCAGATGATTGCGTCTGATGACTATGATGATGTTTTAACGAACTCGTTTGACAGATTTGCATGCAGTATAATGTCAACAATAATAAATGAAAGTTTAGGGAAAGAGAATACTGCACACAAGTCTTTATAGTGTTTCGACTTTATCAAGCGTACGTCCACTTTCCACGCTGGCAGCCAGTTGGCTGTGTTTCACTATTGAATCACCAAGAGATTATAAGAACAGTGCTTCTCATATGATAGATTGCACTATCACGTATACTCTTTACTCAAGTAATTTTCTTTCTAAAGTAACAACATGAAATACAGTAATCACAAGTGTGTAAGATCAAAACTCTATTCAGACTTTGGAATTCTTGATTCTAGTTTTCTTTCTTGTACGACGTTTGCACTCCTCTATTTCCAATATATCCATTAGACAGTCTTCAGAGGATTGATCTCCAAATCAACCCATTGGAGAATCTTCCCGAAAGAAGATGCATAGCCGTTAGAAGAAGAACCATTATCTCCAGGTGATTTGATCTCCCATACAATCAAATCAAGGTTTCCATAAATGTAGTTCTTCGGGTTTTAGGAACGATCTTGCGATTGCCAATTAGGATATTTTGAGATATCGATTATAAAATCAATTTGATTGTCCTACATAAATTTGCCAAAAATAACACTTATTGAATCTGACGAGGAATTTTGAGTTTGATAACAAAGTCCTTTTATCGACTAAGTCTGATGACTCAGTATTTACCTGCATCAAATAACTTAAGTGTAATTGTGGTAAAAAAATGATTGTTTTATCTTTCTTCAAAACTAATTAGAGATTTTCCTCAACAGTACTGATAACGATTGATGATGAATATTCTGTTCAACAAAATGTCTGCACTTTCAGTGCACAAAAGGCAAGTAGCAACTCAAGCACTATTTGATACTCAACATACTGATTAATGATCGAGAACAAAAGCTTCTGTTTAACAAAATGCCTGCATTAGCTTAGCAAAAATGACATAAGTTCACCTAAAAAAATAGAAACTTGATTAGGCTTAAACCAAAAGCTGTCCAAAAGTTGTTTGCCAAGTTCCAAACAAACAAAGCTACATGTCTCATACAAAAAACCAGCTGATAATTGACAAAAATTCACGTAAAAAAATCATTTTCAGCAAATATATCAATCCAATTCTATGGTCTCTGGAGGTCCAGCAGGTTCGACCTTCTCATTATTCATAATTCTTGGGCTTTTTCATATATGGTCCCGCAACAGTAGGCTTTGGAGGAGTTGTAGCCTGAGATGACTGAGGCTGGGAACTGGCCTGTGGTTGTGATAGTGGCTTTGGCTTCACCGCAATATGCTTTCGAGGAGCTATTGTAGCATGAGATGACTGAGGCTGGGAACTCGCTTGGGATTGTGACGGTGCCGTTCGCTTTACACCATGTTTTTGAGCTGTTGTAGCATGATATGACTGAGGTTAGGAACTCGCCTTGGGTTGTAATGGTGCATGTCCCTTTACAGCAGCGTGCTTTCGAGGACAAGTTCTTAATTGCCGAGGTTGTGCACTGGCTTGGGGATGCGCCTTTGCCATTGAAGCAGCCCCTGAAACTACCCCTTTGTCTGGTAGGTTTCATAGTCTTACACCAGTTGTGCCAGGCTACAAAAGAATGAACATGTTTTTATTTTTATCTCAAGGAGAGAGGCAATTGCTATTAGAAATTGTTAAAATATCATTCACATTGAGAATTTGAAGGTTTGTCCTATGATTTGTGTCAACAGCTAACCCTACCATTTTCTTCCTCGCCGCCTATGCTTGTCCTTGCATCATTTCATTTTCAATTGCAGGTCTTTTAAACTGAAAAAAAAAAAATCATTTGACATGAGAATGTAATCACAATACATGTATGCATGGGGATTGACGTATTACTCACTGGGATTTTCTAGGGTCTATCTTGAGCAATTACATTGGCTTAAGCACTATAAATACCTTCACCTTGATCAAAACAAACTTCGGCAAAAGCATTGGCCTCACCACTGCATCCTCTTATATCAGCGGTAGCTGTACATCCTATATGGGCTCCTGCAGTGGCACTGCATCCTCTTACATCTACACTAGCCTGAGCAGAAGCATTGGCTTGCCCACTATTGTCTCGTATTGCACTGGCCTCTGCAGAAGCATTGGCCTGGCCTTTGGATCCTCCTTCACTTACTCTTGTCGTTGCTTTAGCTTTAGCCTGAATATATACTCATCGTCATTAAATTGGAACCATGACATATTGTTGACACCTGATTTTTAGCTCATTTTTTTTCATATTTTAAAAAATCTCAGAATTAGGACTAGGAAACTTGGCCAAGCCTAGAAACCTATTTCTAAACCAAAAATAAATTTTTTAGCATTTTCCTGAATTTTTATTTAATTTCTTTTAGTCAAAATGAGTGAGAAAATCAAGAAAAATAGTAAATGGAATCAGAAAATTCCATAAAAATAGTCATTAGTCTTCTTTTAAATCCAATTTCATTAATGCATCATCAATTTTGGAAAATTTCAATCGGGCATGTGTTTTTCCCAAAATTGGGCAAAATCAAACCCGAATTGAACCAAAAATGCAATTAAATCTTTTCTAGTCATTTTTAAGTCATAGTGTCTTCACAACAAATGATTCTAGGACCTTGAATTACATAATGGTCGGTCCAATTGCATAATTTGTCAGAAAAATCAAAAATTTCCAAAATTCAATTGAAAATTAGGAATTTTGAGCCCAAATTGGGAATCGTGTCCAATTTGAAATTGTCAAACCATGAGACCATCATTTCTAAGTTAATTTGATGTGGGTAATTCAATTTTGGCACCAATTTTGCCTAATCAGGTCATTAGGGCATCGAATTAAACAACCCTCAATAACCCGAATATAAAAAGCTAAAAATTTTGGACATGATTATGACAAAAATTAGGGAAAATCACATATTTGGGTTCAAAATGTGATGAGGAATTCAATTTTGGGGTTTAATTTTGAAATTGGGTCAAAATCGAGCTTAATTTATGAATTTAGACCAACTCGGGTCTGCCGGGTCGACCGGGTCAAACCGACCCGAGCCGGGTCGGTCTCCTTCTTCGCCCGACTTGCCCAAGACACAATGAACCCAGAAAAATATCTACTCCGGCCCGAGACTTTGCCGACTTAATCCGAGCAATTTAACACGTGAAAAACTCCGATTCCAGCTGGAGAATCTCCAGCTAGTATCGGAGATTCGATCCACCCGATTCAAGGTCGGTAAATAACAAACTTTGGGCGGGAAATTGATCAATAAAAACAAGAAAAAACTGAACATTGAGAGGGAAACCCGTTCGACGAATTGCCAAAGAGAGAGAGAGAAGAATCCAGAGAGAGATTGAGAGAGAAAGAAGAAGAGGAATACGAGTAGAGGTTCAAGGCCGAGCGATCAGCGTTGCCTTGATCGGGAGGGCGCCAGCGAATCGGCCGGCAAGAGTGACCTCCTCTTTCCTTCTCTAGTGAGCAGGCTGACCGCCAAGGCCTGAAACCGAGTCTTGTTTAGACAATCCAAGAGCTTCTTGGCGAAACAGAGCTCATCAGCTTCAAGAGCAAGTGTCAAGGAAACACCATACAATCACCATCTTGTTCGGAATTTCAGAATCAAACCTCTACGAAGAAGGTAAAGTTGGCTCATGATCATAGTTCAATAAAAATCTAGAATTTGTGTTGGAGTTCTATCATGTCTAATCATGCAATTTTCTCTGTGATTTTTTATATTATCGATGTTTAAAACAAGTTTCTGATAATGTGTTTCATTATTTCTTGCATTTTGAATCACTGAAATGACATTTGACCGAGTCGGCCATCATGGAATCCACACCGGAGCTCCCAAACCTCGCTAGAGTGTCATCTATGGCCAATCGCCACTCAAGTTAGTAGTTTCTGACGTTGTTTTGTGCTCTGATGATTGTTTTAAGCGTTAGAAACGGCTAGGGCGATTTGTGTGATGATCTGAAGGTTAGAAAAACCTGTTTAGGTCAGTTCAAGGTTAGGTTTTTTTGGTTCAGTTTTCGCCGGTCGACGGTGGTTTGGCGACGAACCGAAGAGATCAAACCGTTAAAAGATGATATGTAGTTGGTACAGAACTCAAGATTGGCTTTGGATAGTGATCGGAAGGTCATTGGAAATTTGTTCGAACCGGCGGCCTCGAAAACATTTGTACCAAATTCATGCTCACCAGGTGTTCAGCGAAATGCTGAAGAGAAAAAAGAGTGAAACAGTGCCGTTTTGGCATCGTCCCTGCCGGGGTGCCGGTGCCGGCCGGTTCGACTTGGTCGGATCGGTCTGAACCCGGTCCGGTCTGGTTCGCTTTTCTGGTGGGAAATTTTTAAAAAATAAATAAATAAAATATTTAAAAAAATAATCAAGAAAAAATTAAAAAAAAAACTCAAAAAAAAAAATCATAAAAAGTATAAAATTTAGAAAATTCATAAAAATCCAGAAAATTCCAAAAATACAAATAAAAAAATGTAAAAAAATTTCAAAAAATCTAAAAAAATTGAAAAATTCGAAAATTCATAAAAAATTTGCAGAAATTCATAAAAATCAATTCTCGGTTAATGAAATTCTCAGAAATTTAATTTTCGAAAAAAAATCAAAAATCAAAAATTTCAAAATTTCATAGAATGGTCCAAAAAACACTGTGGCCAACCTTGAAAAGTGATATTTGAATTTTTGGAAGTGCCAAAGTGGCATTTTTAGAAATCTCAAATTTAGGGGTTATAACCCCTAAAAAACCCTAAAACCTTAAAAAGACACAAATCATGAAATGAACAAGCCTTTAGGGCTTCATTAGGGATTTGATGTTTTGATTGATTTTCATTTTTAGAGACAATTTAGGATTGTTTGGTTTGATTGGCCTTGATTGCCCATTAAATTCTTGATTGATTTTCCTCGCAATTAGAATGGATAGGATTAGTGGGTAAGCCTCGGAAACTTGCGTGACACGTTAGATATCGTATCGTTCTTAGGTATCGAAAGGGCGTTAGGGATCTCGATTTGGGATCATTAGCGTAACTAAGTCCTCGTACTCAGAATTTCTGGTTCGTAGAATCGTGGTATTTCTCCCATATCCCGATTAGGTTTCTAGTCAACCTACCAATAATGATTAGTGGCGACTCCAAAATCAAAAACTTAGATCAAATAGGAAATTACCATCCACTGTCACGTGAGGTATGGTCTGGGAGAGACCCTTGCACAGAAACACCTCCTTAGCGCGCAAACCCCGAAAACCCAAAAAAAGCGCGGCGCGATAAGCTTGGCGACTCCGCTTGTGACATTTTGAAATCCGACCCACTTGGGATTTATGAAATGAATGGTTTTATGAACGTACTTGTAGTTAGATGTCCCCCGGAACTGATCATTCCTGGGATACTAACCGTTAGGGAAAGGCTAATTAGGGATTTAAATTCGCGCGACCAAAGAACTCGATCGTGAACCGACTTTCGACAATGAAAATTGTCGAGGTGACATTTTGAGCCACTGTAGGCCGATCCAAAGATAGCTAGGGATTAGTTCGCCACTGTCATACGAGTGGATCGCGGGTGATTCCGCTAGACCGCGAAATGAATTGACGAATGATCCCGAACCTATACCAAACGATCGGGCACGTCGGAACTAGCGATCGATCCTCGCGATTAAGTGACAACCGAGGTCATCACGACCCGAGTAAACTTGAACGTGACTAGATTTAGTATCGGCCACGGGTCAATAGTGCGAATTTCCCCAAAAGCCACCCGTTAGTCTGAGATACGCGCAAGTTACGCTATTTAGAACTTAGTCGTTGACTAGAGACCGAGTTGGGCATTGGAAATTTAGAAAGCCACGACAGATCATTTGGACGATGTTGTCATTTGCTCGGTTAGCCTCGGATTTGTCCGAATCCTTCAGAAAAATTGAATTTCGGCGAGAAATGGATAAATGACCATTTTACCCCTGGAAATTTGTTAAGGCCAATGTAATTTGGGAAGGGCATTTTGGTAATTTCACCCTAGCCTTAGAATTAGAGATTTTTGGACAATTTTGCCCTTGGACTTTTTGAGAAATTCCCAAATTGCCCTTGGATATTTTGGAAAAGATTCGATCCGGACCGTTGATCTCAAGATAAGATCGAATTTAGGCCGTTGATTGGATTTGTGAGAGGAGGGCAAGATGGTCATTTGGGATATCAATTATTGGCTTGGATTATTTAAAGCCAAATTCTCTCTCTCTCCACACTCTCTCCCTCCCACTCTCGGCTCCCTCTTCTCCCTCACCGATCGCCATCGCTCACCAGCCGCCGTCCACCCGATCGCCGCCACACGATCACCGAGCCACACCCTCACGCCGCCGTCCCTCTCTCTCTCCCTCTCCTTCTCGGCGATCTCTCTCTTCCCTTGTGGCCGTGAGTGAACCGCGGCCAAGGAAGCTGCCGCCGCCCGCCATTCAGCCGCACGCCGCCGCCGCGTGCCGCCGTGAGTCCGCCAATCAGCCGTCCCCTTCCCACTCTAGCCGAGCCAGTCTAGAGTTCGGGTAAGTCACGCCCTAAACTCTATTTAGGACTTCGAGTATCGACGGACGAATTAGGGTTGAATTGGGTTAATTAGGGACCGTTTAGGGGTTATTAGGTGCTGTTTAGGGATTAATTGAGTGGACTGATTTAGGGGCTGGTATTGACTGATTTTAAATGGGGAAATGATGATGTTTCGGGCTGAGATGATGTGAAATTGGGCGCTGGAAATTGGGCTCGTATTGATGAGCGTATGGTTCGATTTCGGGGTAAACGGTATCGGTTTGGTGTGTTGATTTATGGATGAATTGTGGTGACGATTCGGGCTAAAAATGGATGAGGAAATGTTGAGTTTTGTGCCCATGTAGTGGCTGTGTTTGTGGGCCCGTTAGTGGCCTTGTATGTTTGTTGTACCGTGACTTGATTGATTGAAATGTGCTTTGTTATGTGCACACTTGGGCCGAATTGAAATTGACTGTCAATTGACCGCGTTGGGTGTTTATTGAGCTTGAGAAATGCGTGGTTTGATGCGTGCACGGGTCAAGTGTGATTGGCCAATATGTTGACATGTGGGTGTTGAGTATGTGAATGAGTGAGAAAGCGAGTATGGTGCGGTACGTGTGATAACGGAAATCCCTAAGGCGGTATCATTACGCGGGGAATTGATCCGTCCTGAGGCGGTATGACTACGCGG